GGACTATATAAGTTTTGCCTCATTTTACGCTAATTCATACCTTTAAAGTGATGCGGGTATGGGGTAATATAGAAAATTAGATTCTTTTTTTTCCTGTCAAAAAATGAGACTTAAAAATTTATAGAGTTTATGTGAAAAGCTCAAGATTCATGTTAAAAATAAATATAGTGATGAAATGCTAGTGTATTTTCAAAGAGATAATAAAGCATACTCATGGCATTCACTCAGAATCTAAGATATATAATAGTTTTGAAATTGCTATATTGGAAAATTATGAAATTTTGAATATATCTTTTTGCATAAATATTGTTGGCATTACCAATGCGAGATACGTATACGTAAATGATTGATGAAATTGAAGTTTACTTTTTATTTTAAGTGTCATGCAAAAATTCTTATATATTTTAAATATAGGCAAGTACTTGTTAGTTTCCAATGCTAATATGAATATGCCATATATTTTAGTTATTCCAGTTTCATGCATTTTTTAAAGCTATATACTAAATAATACTTGTAATATTGATATATTCCTATATGTTAGATAGCTGATTTCAGTCATGTTAAATGTTCAAAGAGCTCAATTATCTAGTAAATCCATTTGTTAAGCATATGGCTCTTTATTCTTTTTAATTTGCTTCATACCCACAAGCGATCTATCTGAAATACATCAAATTGCTTCATTTGACGAAGATGCGCGAAGTTCATCTTACCTTAGGCATGTCATATTTGCTTACTTTCAATAATTGCAATACAATTACGAGAAGCCTACTTTTTTTCTATTTCTACTTCAAGGTAAAGGAACATGTGTTCCTGAATATTTTATATTTATTTTTCTTTTTCTCGTGAAAAATTCAGAGAAATTGCAGTTGTTAGTTATAAGTTCACAAAATGAGATTGCAATGTAATTTCTCCTTCCTGTATTATATTTAAAAAGAAAATATAAAACATGTAACGCGTCGAACTCATAAAACCAAGACATAAAGCATAGTCCATAGTGCATCTTTCAACGGAAAATCACCATTGACAGCTTGTGAACATAATAGAATTATGCTTTGCTTCGAATTTTCTTCACCTCCTGCCTCTCTTGCAAATTTCAAAATCACCATCTGTTGTGTTATTCTGTAACTGGCTTCTATCATTCTTCTTCAGTTTTTAATTACTGAAAAAAAAAATACAATAATGCTTTTTTTAGATGATTTTCGTATAAATTATATCTGTTTCTTTTAAAAAAGTACTGAAAAGGAATATGCGATAAAATTTGTACCTTTATAAGCGTAAGATGTATCATTACAATCATGAAAGATGATATAATTATAAAAGCTAGTATTAAATAAAACTGAAAAAGCGAGTAAACATGTTAAAGAGTATAATACGGCATTAATCTTCATATAATTGTATACTAACCTAGAGATTTTCAAACTCAGTACACTAAAGAATAAAAGTAAAAACCTATGTGTTTATCATCGAAAGCAAGACTGTACAGTTATTGCCTAGGATAATTAGAATATATATCAAAAAATGGTGTATATATGGAAATTCTCGTGAAATAGGGGCCTAAGAGATATTATTTCTTTTTAGTTGTTCTAACATAAAATGGCTTTTGATGTATATGTATAAATTATTTTCGCATTATATTGTATACTTTTATAATCTGCTTTGTCATATAGCGAATAATTTATAGCTTCAGGCGTTTTTAAAGGCACTAAAAATAGTTTAGCTAGATATATTTCATATATCGATAAAAGCATAAAGAATGTAATGTTAAAGTAGATATTCCGATGAATAAAGCACGATTAGCATAGCGCTGATAATAGAAATAAAAAGGTATAGCGATTTAACAATCAATATTAATGATGTAAACGTGATATATTTGTAAAGCAAAAACTGTATATTATTGCTGCGATTATTCTGTCTCCTATTCCTTTACGAGCAACACACACAAACAGACTATACCAGTAATTTATAGTCAAGTTAACTCAGTCGCTTGTGCCCTTGTTCAGTAGAAATAATCTTAGTGTGCTTTCTGTGCAATTAAAAACAAACGAAGGACAGCAGCAAAATGAAAATAGCTTAGCCCTTCTCTAAGGATATGCCTATTACTCTGCATCATCTATTTCAAAAACAAAGACAAGCTTCTACTTATCCAAAGGCATGTATATATAATACCTTACAAGGATTTCCCGCAAGATGTAGAAATGCTTAGACAATAACTTGATATTTTTACACAACCTTTAAATAAATTCTTCATGGTACTGTCTCCTCTTCGGTGAATGCTTTGCCGACCACTTCTTCCAATACTTATGCTGTTCAATAACATAAGTGCTGTGCCATCACAACATTATCAATAAATATTTGTAGTAATCGTTACTCGGTTAGGAGTTCTTCCATATATGACCTATCATATGTGAACTTACTCTTAGGGCGCCGTTACAATATC